ATTTAAAACTGGTAAATCAGTAGCGTCCAAACACTTTTCCGATAAATATGACAAAATTGCAGATTTTTTCTGTAATTTGCTCGTTTCTGCAATTAGAGTACATATGCAAGTCGGCCATATTTGCAGAACTGCAAATTTACAGATGCAAATATACTGTAATCTGGCCCTTAGGTGCTAACTGACGTCACACACATAACCTCAATGACATCTTTGTCCCCCTATCGAAAGTCACGTTATGTCATGTTACGGGATGATTTTTCCCGCACCAAAATAAAAGGAAATAAGCTTATTCACCTCTCTGAATAGCATACCTTCCTCAAGCCACTGTTTTCTATCCAATAGTTGTAGCCACACTTTTCATCAAACTTTTCATTCTTTCCAGAATCATTAAGTTAGAGGTTTAATAATGGAATTGATTTTCTGTTAGTAGGGTTAAAATAAATAGACAATTAATTTATTAACAAACAAAATCACAATATTTACACTAGAACAGCTGATTGTCTGATCCGAGTAGATTGTCTAGATTGACAGCGCTCCAAATAGAGTCAATGACCGGTACTAACTTAATTTGAATAAGTCCCATGCCCCAACTACCATCAAAATTTCCCAGTACCTTCCACCTTAGAGTTTTGACAGAACCTTTTTAAAGGACATTGCAGGGACAAGCAGAGGTCATTCAGGTCGAGGACTTTTCACGATTAAGTATTCGGGAAAATTCCTCCGGCACATTTTGCCGATTTTGTGAGTTGTCTAGTTTTCGTTCATAGATCTAGGGTGGCTAATCCGTTATTTTAGCACCCAATCGCCTTGTGCGGATTTTTTTTTGTGAGTCGAAAAAGAGCAACGTGACCAATTGTTTGTTCCTAAAGGCCAAAGTAATTTTGGTAAGTGGGTTTTCTTATTAATCTTTTCTGTGTTTCTCTATTTCCTATGTAAAAGCATAGTTTTCTGTTAATTATACGCTTGAATTCCGAATATTGGACATACCTACCTATTGCTCCACGCCCTGTCTCATCATAACGTCCATTTGTTTCAGGTCTTCAATCGTTACCTTTAGATGTCACCTTTTATTCGTCACGCTTTAGTCCCTGACTTTCAGTAAAGAGTTTTAGGTTCAGCTTACTGTATATTTCAAGTAGTATCTACAATCTTCAGCCTCCTCTAGACCATCGGAAGCCTTAGTGACTCCTAGTTACTGAACTTCAGTGCCCAGGGCCAGGTTGTTTCTTGTTGCGGCCCTGATCCAGTCCCAGGCCATTGGAAACACTGGAAGATATTGATCCCACCTGTCAGGTTGTCCCCAAGAGTTTAGGGACTACTCAGGTTTGATAAGTGTGTTGTATTGTTTTAATATCAAACCTTACCAACCCCTTGTTGGAGTAAATCACCACAACAACGCAGTTCTACAACAATATTAAATTATCCTTCAGATTAGATGTTGTTATTTCAGTTTCAATTAATTATTACCTTTGTTATATGAAATTTACCATTCAGGTTATGTACTGTTAGGTACTTCAATTTTAAGTATTTATCTATACCTTCTATATTATTCCATAATATTAAATTTGCCCCCTCGGGCTATATATTGTTTCTTTAAGTTTAATTAATGATCTATATTTCTCTAATATCCTATAAATACATGCTGCACTGAATACAGGAAAATACTTGTACACTGGGGTTAAATGGCCATTTACGAAGGTACTGCATTAAGTGAGCTTATTTATTAATTAATATTTCAGGTATTATTGTTGTTAATTGTTATTACTCTTTATTTTTTGTTTTTATTTAGGGACTCAAGTTGAGTATAATTAATAATTATTATAAATACTATTGTAAGAACATATAGTTAGACGATTTCTTTTCTTGTTCTGTTCTGGTTCCAGTGTAAATAATTTTCAGTGTTCCAGGGCGTTCGGAAAACTCATTCCGAACCTGCTCTAGAGTCAACCTGTTCTGGTTCTAATTAAAACCCGTACCTGATTGTAGCAAAGCGTTTCACTTTTGTCCCTCCTTGTTTATATTTCAGGTTGTGCTGCTATAGTTCCGTAGAAGCTTCCTGCTTTCGTTATATCGGTTGATTTCGTGTACTGTAGGGAAAAAGCAGGTGGCGCTCTATATTTAGTTATTTAATTAACCCACCCCCTCTCCGCATTGGAAGCTAGTCGGCAACCCTTTACACGAAATCACGTTTCTAGATTTCAGCCACCAACCAACCCGCGCCAGTGTGTTAAATAGACCTTTCAAACGCTTTATTTGTCCCCCCAACGGAAGTGAGATTATGTGTGTGACATCAGCTAGTGCCTAATTAGTTTCTCCAAACCACTTGATTTTTCAATATGGCGAGTGTGGCAAATTTGACGTTTGTTTGTTTATCTTGAGTTAATTTGGAATATTTTCAAGCTAATCATAGTTTACTTTGTTATAATACACTTTTCGAGATGCAGAGTGAATATTTAAAGACCTAAATGCAGGAAAATTGGGATGTGGGCGAACGATAAGTTTGAAAAAATGTCTATTTATTTGACATTTGTTTACATTTTGACCTAGTTTCCACAACATTGAGCAAATGAAGGCCTACAAAAGCTTAGATTCTTACAAGTATTTCGAGTATGGCTTTATTTTCTACGTTTTAATTGGAAAAATTTGAAAGGTTGCGCACTGAAAACAACCTGACATCGTCCTTGTTGAAAGGCCTTCTAAAATCAACTACACTACAAGACACCTTTGTGGCATTTTTAATTAGAAAAAGCCTTATAAAGCCAATAAAATAAAAAAATAAATAGGGTTTAGTCACAAAACAACCACACAAAGCACTTTAAAAAGCATTAAATTATGTATTGTCATAAACGGAATAATGAACTTCCGCCCCGATCGCCATATTGGAAGTTTTGACAGGTCGTTGGAATGCCTGTAAATTGCGCGTTGAACAAAAATTCCAAATCATATTTTTGGTCCAAAATTTAATTAAAACCTACATAATGATCCAAATTAGTGCTTTCTTTTGACTTTTTCTATTGAAATTTTTTAAAAAAAAGTTTAAAATTGGGCTCTTTGAGATGCAGTGTCATTCGTTCGGAGTCATTCGAAGTGAGTGGCAACATTTCAAGTTTGAGTAAAGTTAGAATAGTTTTTCTGCCATATTTAGCTCTAAGATTACTAGAAAGAGAGCTCCTTACTCCTTATTCGAAGTGAGACTTTTACTCCATTTATACTCGACTTTAAATGTGATTCTACATAAAGAAGCGACGCAAACTAATCAGAAGAGTCAGAGTGAATAAAGATTACTTAGAATACACAGAGTGTGCACAATTCGAAGCAAATAATTCATTAATTAGTTTCGTACATTTCACACAATCACATTCTGAACTGAGTTTCAACTGGGTTCTTTAAGATACAGTGTCTTTCGTTCGGAGTGATTCCGATCAATATTTTACTTTTTTTTTTCAATCAATATCTATCCAAAGTGCACTTAAAATACACAATTAAGAACGGACCAGAGCAGTTCTGAACTTTCGTCAACATTTTAGAAACCTTTTGGAACACTTTAGAGTACTTTACAAATCATATGAAACTTTTGGTAACAATCTAGAACTGGAATTTCTTAGAATGTCTTAAAAATCGTGACAAGACACTCTAGAACTAACTTAAAAATTCCATGAACAGTCTAGAACATTCCGGCGCTTCAAGAGCATCAATTGAAAACTTAAGAAAGCATTTTGAAAAGTTCCAGAACGCACTTGTGCCATTTTTAGGCATTTTGAGATGTTCTAGAGCACTTTCGCTACAGAATACCTTAGAATCAAATTAGAATTTCAGAAAAATTCTAGAATTGATCAGAACATTTAAAAAAGTTTGAGATTTCAGATATTTAAAAGCTTAGGTTTAGATTTAAGTTAAAATTTCTAAGAATATATTTTAGAACGCTTCAGAACTATACACGGAACTTTTAGAAACAATCTAAAAATGAAAATTATCAGAATATCTGGAAAATTCTTTAAACTGTATTTTATTTATATTTTCTGCATTACATATTCCAATTTTTCCTGATAATGATTTTATCTACAATAATCTCAAAATGCCAGTTCAACAAAAAAACAATCTAAATTAAATATTATTGTTATAAAACTCTTTTCCTGTCTCTATCTTGTTTCTATATAGACACTGCTAGATTAGATTAATTATTATACTATTGGAAACCGATTATAGGAGTTTTGTAAGCTTCTCTAATGGAAATTTAGTTCCAGAAGGTTCTAAAGTTTTTAAAAGCATGATGAGCAAATAGCAATCAAACTTCTGGAATTTATTATAGTTTTCGCTTTAGTAAAAGTCAAGTCGAGATAGGAATTACAATCAAAAATTACTTTTTTCATAATAGCACCAATACTTGGAAATTACCATTTATTTTCATGGAAAAATGGCAAGTCATCGATACATTGCAACGTTAAAAAGGCTTTGTTTGTGAAAATTCGCTTAGACAAGACCTACATAAGTAGGCCTTGTATTACCGAGAAAAATCGATGTAACAAAAAAATAATTCATTCGGATTAGTATAATAAATCATTCAAAATGAAAAATTACCCAATATAATAAATAATATGTATAAATACAAAATATATTGAAATTTTGAATTATAAGAAAAATGAAAGTTTTAGTCTTACAAAGGAGAATTATTTAAGTACAGAGAGAGATACATTTGAGCAAAGATTTAGCTCGAGGAAAACTGATGAAGATTATCAAGGTAACAAGCAAAACAGCAGAAAAAAACTGGAACAATCAAGGCGGTTAAAGCTGAGAAAAACTGGGAAAAGAAAAAGAGGAGCAGGAATGGATACAACACGCACATGCATGTTTAAAACGCGCTTTCCATTAATGGAAGTTGTATGAATCATTAATTAACTTTATTTTCCGATAGACTTCTCTAAAATACATAGCTTTTTGTTACATATTTTTAAATCACTCTAACATTGAGCCAACAATCAACAAAGTTATTTCTTTTTCAGAACAAAGTGACGGTTCTCAAGCGCTCGAAGAGGGCGCAGAAAGTTGGGCTCGAAATTCGCCGCGCGAAGCACGAAATGCCGTTACGCCTTCGGCCGGCAAATTCCCGATGCACAATAATGCACGGGTGCAATTCGAGTCACCGAAAGCTCCTGTCATATTTGTACTTGGTAAGTGAGTGTGTGTGACAAAGATAAAGATACAATCAAGGGGTAAACCCCCACAAATTTGTGCAGACAATGTCTCAAACTTCCCGGAAATTCTTTCAAATGCATCACAAACTCTTCCAAATTCCCTGCAAACTGCTCGCAAATTCCCTGCAAATGCCTGTTACAAATTTTCCAAAAATCGCCAACGTGACAAGCACTGTATTTTTCTATTTCTATTACTCTCGGTATTAAAACTAATAAGTTCCTCCTAATTTTTCATACATTTTTCCAATTTCCCATAAATTCCTTCAAATTCCCCACAAATTTCTCCATAGTTTTGGCAAAGAATTCTTAGGTGGTTTACCCGTTGCATACAAAAATAATTATTAGAGTACTCAAATTACTCCAAACAGTTAAAGCATCCGGAGTACTTCGAACAGTTTGAGTACTCGCAGTACTTTAGACAATTAGAATACTCGGAATACTACGAGCAGTTGGAGTACTTCGAACAATTAAATCGGAGCCAAAAAGCGGTGCAACTTTTGATTATCACTTGAACATTTTTGATAAAATTTGTCATTTGAAAGTAGGGCTGACAACTGAAACCAATTCTTCTGTTAATCGGTTTCAGTGTTACCAACCGTACTATAATTATAGTATTTGTACTAAAATTGAATGGTTATGTACTATGTACTATCAAAGGTCATTATAATACGCCTAAAATACTATAATTATGTATTATCAAATTATTTAGTTTTTTACTGGAAAATAATCTCTATTTTCCTGTCTATGTCTAGTCACCTTTTTCTTTTTTTTTTTAGCTGAAGAGGCTCTGTCGTTTTAGTATTGATAGAGCATGTATTTTTTGACAGTCAACATTTTTTTTCTGAGCGGATCCTTTTTTTATACCAAAAAAGATGTTATGAACGCACCCCTATTTAATTTTTAAAATTATTTTTTATTTTAGGTCTGTTTGTTATCCTCCACTAGTGCACAATAATTTACACTTTTCTGCACTGAGGCGTTTGTTATGGGGTTAGTGCAAATAGTGTAAGGCGTTTGTTATCTCAGTGTAGGGTGCCCAATCTTGCACTACCTACACCTGCTCAAGAGGAGGTGTAATAAGTGCAGAATATGGAGGGGTCAATGTTGTTGTTTTGTTTTGTTTGTTGCTCCTAAGCTAAAACCTCAAAATAAGCTAAATAATGCAGATTTAATAATAGAAAAGAAATTAAATCTTAAATGAAATGTATTGATATGATCCAAAAAAATGAGCTGTGAAAGTACATATACAAAATTGCAATTACTCGATCTAGAATCAGATGTAACAAGCTGTCGTCAGAGCTGGAAGATGGGGAATCTGGGGAATCTTCTTCATCTTCCTCCCTCTATAATTTCGGACACTAAAACCTTGTAAATTTTATTTTTTTCATTGATGTTAGGCATTTTTTTCTCGGAGTTTTCACTTCAATTTACCATATTATGCCTAAATAATAATTTTTTTGAGGTTAGATATCCGCTTATATCGCTGCACGAACTGCACTGTCTGCACTAACGCGTTTGGGAGTTTTCCTATACCCTGGTTGCCATAAACTACACCAGCAGCCTGCACTGACCTACCCTACACCGGAATAACAAACACAACTTTTGTCGTTTGTCCCGGCAAAAATTTGAAATTTTCTGACTTTTCTCTTTTTCTCCAGAAAATGTCATAATTTTCCCCTGAATAGTTTTCCAAAAGAAAAATAAAATGTTGGATGGTGCATTTATGCCTAATTTAATTGATTTTCATTAATTTCCAATGAAGTTATTTTCCACTGAAAAAATTTGAAACTTTACTATGATACGCCCCTGATTTTTTTTTTTTTACCAAAAAATGTCATAATTTTCCCTTGAATAGTTTTTCAGAAAAAAAATAAAATGTTAGATGGTGCATTTATGCCCGATTTAGTTGATATTCATTAATTTCCAATAAGGTTATTTTCCACTGGAAAAATTTGAAATTTTACTATAATACGCCCCTGATTTTCCTCTTTTTTTCCAGAAAGTGTCATAATTTTCTCCTGGACAGTTTTCCAGGAAAAAAATAAAATATTATGTCTAATTTAATTAATTTTCATTAATTTCCAATGGGGTTATTTTTCACTAGAAAAATTTGAAATTTTAGTATGATACGCCTCTGACTTTTCTTTTTTTTCCAGAAAATTTTATAATTTTCCCCTGGATAGTTTTCCAGAAAAAATAAATAAAATGTTAAATGGTGCATTTTTATGTCTAATTTAGTTGATTCTCATTAATTTCCAATGGAGTTATTTTTCAATGGAAAAATTTGAAATTTTATTATGATACGCCCCTGACTTTTCTCATTTTGTCCAGAAAATTTCATAATAATTCTTTGGATAGTTTTCCAGAAAAAAAATAAAATGTTAGATGGTGCATTTATGTCTAATTTAGTTGATTTTCATTAATTTCCAATGGGATTATTTTCCACTGAAAAAAATTGAAACTTTACTATGATACGTGCCTGATTTTCCTTTTTTTCCAGAAAATGTCATAATTTTCCCTTGAATAGTTTTCCAGAAAAAAAAAAAAATGTTAGATAATGCATTTATGCTTAATTTAGTTGATTTTCATTAATTTCCAATGGGGTTATTTTTCACTGGAAAAAATTTGAAATTTCACTATGATATGACCCTAACTTTCTTCTTTTTTTCCAAAAAAATGTTATAATTTTCCCTTACTTAAATAGTTTTTTCAGAAAAAAAATAAAATGTTAGATGGTGCATTTATGCCTAATTTAGTTGATATTCATTTATTTCCAATAAGGTAATTTTCCACTGGAAAAATTTTAAATTTTACTATGATACGCCTCTAATTTTCTCCTTTTTTTCCAGAAAATGTCATAATTTTCTCTTGGACAGTTTTCTAGGAAAAAAATGTCTAACTTGGTACCTACTGCTATGGCATTTACATGGTACTGAGATAGTACTACGTATAGAAGTATAGTCAGTCTAGAAGAGGCCAAAATAAGTCGAGAAGCTTTTTGGCATTTTTCACTAGGACGTCTCCTAAATCCCGGAAAAAATTAAAAGAGAAAATCAACAGGGAGGCTTGCATTGTTTCATTAAATCAGCCATAACTTTGGAACGTCTAGACCGATTTCAATGAATCATATTTTATTTAATAGAGAATTAAATTACCTACAAAACTTATTATTGACAATTTCCAGGTGGACCAGGTAGCGGTAAGGTGACCCACTGCGATAACCTGATGCAGGAAAAAAAAGAAATCGTCCACATCAACATGTCGGACCTTTTGCAACAATACGCCATCGGAAACGGTAAGAGTTTTCAAATAAAAGAAGGAAGAGCTTCATTAAAACTACCCCCCAAACATGTCATTGGATCCTTATCATTTTTCCATGTAATAATATCCGCATTTATGTATAAAACAAACATTGTTTAACCTCTAAACGATGATAGGGAAATTCGAGCGGATCGATAATGATGGCTAAGTAATGCTTTTATTTTATTGTTATTTTCCAGATGGACATTCAAGCCTAATCAATATCGATAATAGTTATAAAGGTAAATACGTTTGGGTTTGGTGTGGAGTTTTTTGCCTTGCACGATTTTCAGTTTCTCCTCTTACCAACTTTATTGAATTTCCAATGAAACTTTTGCCTACAAAAGCAACAAACAAAATTATTTAGCCTCGTTATAATGTTTGTCTATATATTCTTGACCTTCTCTACTCAGGCAAACGATTTTCCCATTATCGAAAGCTTTCGTGAATGCATTGTTAAATTGTTTTTCACGTGTAAAGTAAAAAACTGAAACAAAAAGTTTACAAAGGTTCAAGGTTAATATCGTCTAGAATTTTACATAATTCTCAAAACTATGATACACATTTTATATTATTTGTTTCATTTTCCAGAAATCTCTGATTATGCTCAACTGTCTAGTAGAACAGTTACTGAAGTTTTAATGGTAGAAATGAAAATGGCACCCAATGCCAGAACTTATTTAGTATCTGGTTATCCTAGGAATATGCGAGACGTTGTCGAGTATTCTGAAAAAGTAAGCAACAACATTTATTTACATCTCTATATTTTACAATTATTGTGAAATTTTTCTTTTAGATTCAAGTTGTGAATGGCGTCATACTGATTTCTTGGCGACAAAAAGTGCTGGAGCGTCAAATCGATTACGGTGCCAAATTGGGACAAGTCGTCCTTTCCCTAGCTAAGATGGAACTGAACAATTTTTACAAAAATGTCATACCAGCGGCGCAGTATTTCGATCAGAGCAATATGCTTGTATCGGTAAGTGATTTTTGAGTTGACACACCCTGTAGATTTCGAAAATATGGGTATAGTATTTTTATTTGGACCTGAAACACTGCAATATACGTGGATATTTCAATATCACGTCGCTCTCTTCTATTAATTTCATAGAAAATCTATTGTAAATTTCCCTGTACAAAGTATAAGCAGCGAGAAAATATCGCTACAGTTAACAGTAGCCAAAAATAATAATTTAGGTCGCCACGCGCCTATAGGTTGAATTATTCGGATGGGCTACTTACGTTTCCCCAGGAAAGATGCAGGTGCCTGGCTGACTAGACTACGGGACTTCTATAACCAGTGTCATCCCAATTTATATATTTTTTGCTGTTTTATTCCACGTATTAACAGATTTCCCTAAGTTGAAGTTGGTTCAACTTTTCCGTGCGTTACGCTAATTTTCTTAATTTTTAAGTGGATGTAAACAACTACATATAAATACATAATTTTCAACTTTTCTTGAATTTTCCGTACCTACACGTTAAGTAGATGTAAATGACACTTTATTTCTTACATTAACGTAGGCTGTTTAAACAGCTGACGACTTAGGTATGACGTCGGAAATGATGACACACCCCAATATGGCGGTGATTACCAGAAACTAAACCGATAAACAATCTTGTAGATGTGTATCATCCTTGACGCGTATCGCAGTTATCAAATGTCTATACGCCAACTGGAATTAATGCTGTCAGCGATCTACTTTACCGACCGACAGATGTTTGACGTTTAAACTTTCTAACACAATCCTTTATCAAGTAGGCCATGCATTTGCTCAATTAAATTTCAAACAAAGGTGTCTTCTCTTATCCATTTTCGTCGGTCCTTCTCTAATTATTATAGTTGAAAAAAGACAGTTATAAGTTTTCTTTTTAAAATAAACATTCAATTAGAAAACACTCTGTACACGTAATGCGTATCAGCAGTTGTCAAATGTCAATACGCCAACTGGAATTAATGTTGTCAGCGATTTACTTTACCGACCGACAGATATTTGACGTTTAAACTTTTTGACACAATTCTTTATCAAGTAGGCCATGCATTTACCCAATCAAATTTTAAAGAAATGGTGCCTTGCTAATCATGGTCCTTTTCTAATCATTATTGTTGAAAAAAGACAGTATTAAGTTTTCTTTTTAAAATAAACATTCAATTAGAAAACACTCTGTACACGTAATGCGTATCAGCAATTGTCAAATGTCAATACGTCAACCGGAATCAATATTGTCAACGATCTGCCTTATCGACTGACAGATGTTTAACATTTAAATTTTCTGACACAATCCCGTATCAAGTAGATTAAGCAGTTACCTAACCAAATTTCAGAAAATGTTGCCTTCTTTTATCCATTTTCGTCGGTCCTTCTTTAATCATTAATGTTGAAAAAAGACAGTATTAAGTTTTCTTTTTAAAATGGACATTCAATTAGAAAACACCCTGTATACGGAACGCGTATCAGCAGGAGGGACGTAACAACAGAGCGTGCAAGTGGTGCCGCGCATAAGGGCACGGGCCCCTATGGAGCCCAACGTGTTTTGAATTTTTCAGACACAATACAAGGAAGATTATAAAAAGAATAATATTACGCCCTCCGAAGCAATTATTCTTCGTTTTGGCGATTTGTAATCAAAACAGGAAACTGTAATATCGATCTCTACAGATTTCTTTTCACCGTACGTTCAGTATTTTGATCTGAGTTCTCCGAGCTTGAATTTACCGTTTGTCAAGGTCAGTCAGCCCTCCCAGTCCCAGGTACTAGTGTCAATATTGTCAATTGTCATTTTCAATCGTAGAAATCCATAAGTCACATGAATAAATCCCCTGTCGAGTGTGGGAATTGTGGGATTTTGTCGATGAAAACAATAATTTATTACGTGAGGAGTCCGAAAAGTACTGTTTTTTTTTTTAACAAGTAGACAAGTTTCCAGAATCCAGGGCGAAGCGTAGTTGAGTTCTGGATGTCTGCGAATCCAAAAATACACTTTCCAGGCGTATTACGTATATTATTTTTTCGGCCGGAAAGTACATACTTTCTAGACTGGGACGGAAAGTTATCACTGAAAAAGACATACTTTCCTAAGAAAGACACGTCTGGAAAATATGTACTTTCAGTACAGTTGTCAAGCTGAAAATCTTGTATAACATATCTACATATTTTAAGTATGTACTAAAAAAAAAATAGCTATTGTCTGTTAGGCCTTCAAAAATGTCTCGCCTATGAATTTGCCATGCACCATTTTGTATTTAACCCCCTCCCCCAGTCCCCCCCAACCAATGAATTTGAACCTTCATATTATGGTGAAGGGCGCCCGCTGTAGTCTTGTACCAGGGCCCGGATTTGACTTGCTACGTCCCTGATCAGCAGTTGTTCAATGTCAATATACTAACTGAAATTAATGTTGTCGGCGATCTATTTTACCAACCCATAGGCGTTTGACGTTAAATTTTCTGACACAATTCTTTATCAAGTTGGCCATGTATTTACCCAATCAAATTTCAAAAAATGGTGCCTTCTTTTATCCATTTTGGTCGGTCCTTCTCTAATTATTAATGTTGAAAAAAGACAGTATTAAGTTTTCTTTTTAAAATGGACATTCATTTGGAAAACACTCTGTATACGGAACGCGTATCAGTAGTTGTCAAATGTCAATACGCAAAGTGAAGTTAATGTTGTCAGCGATCTATTATACCGACCGAAAGAAGTTTGACGTTTAAACTTTCTGACATAATCCTTTATCAAGTAGGTCATGCATTTACCCAATTTAATTTCAAAAAATGATGTCTTCATTTATCCATTTTCATCAGTCCTTCTCCCTTTTCTAATCATTAATGTTGAAAAAAGACAGTATTAAGTTTTCTTTTTAAATTGGACATTTAATTAGAAAACACTCTGTATACGGAACGCGTATCAGCAGTTGTTAAATGTCAATACACTATACACCAACTAGAATTATTGCTGTCAGCGATCTGCTTTACCGACCAAAAGATGTTTGACGTTTAAATTTTTTGACACAATCCCTTATCAAGTAGGCCATGCATTTACCCAATCAAATTTCAAAAAATGGTGCCTCTCTTTTATCGATTTTTGTCGATCCTCAGTGTTGCCAGAGAGTAAAAATTTTTTCTATCAAAATTAAAAACAAATTGTACGAGATTCAATAAAAATGTAATGTACCAGCCTATTATAATAGGGTGGGGGTGACCATACTTTTTTCTCCAATGTCACTTTAGGAATAACATTCCAAGACCTACTGGATTGGAACCCGAGTAAAGTTGGCTACAAAGCAGTGTTGCCACCTGAAAAAAAAAATTATAAATTCCCTAAAAACTTATTTTTTACTGATTTTTTTTTGCGGTCTTAATTTTAATTTAATAGTGAAAATTTTTGGCTGAAAATGAAGGAATTTCAAAGCTTCGTACTTTAAATCGGTTTTCTCGGCCTGGAAAAGCGGAAAATCCAAAAAAAAAAGGAGATTCTAAAGCCTATTTGATGAAATTTGAGTTTTTGTTACTTACCCTATTGGAAAATTGAAATTTTTTTTGCACAACATGAAGGAAACTCAAAGCCTCGTACTTTAAACCATTTTTTCCGTTTTAAAACGGCCTGGAAAAGCGGAAATTTCGAGGAAAAACATGGATAAAAACACTCAAAATGGTCGACTTTCCAAATTGACAAATGACATTTATTACAAGGTTTACATGATTGAAGTTTGCTACAAACGATGTTGCCACATCAAAACTTCCAGAAAAAGCATTTAAATGGGATTTTCCTAATTATTGCATTTAAAAATATAAATTTGTGCTAGAAAATGAAGAAAACTCAAAACCTCCTACTTAAAATCGGTTTTCCCCGGCCGAAAAAGCGGAAAATTCAAAGAAAAGCCTCTGAAAAAGACATTCCAAAGCCTACTTGATGAAACTTAAGTTTTATTCACTTACCCCATTGGAAAACTGGAAATTTTTGGTACAAAATGGAAAAAACTTAAAGCCTCATATTTAAAATCGGTTTTCCTAATTGAAGTAGCTTTGGAAAAGCGAAAAATCCAAAGAAAAACCTCTAAAAATAACATTCCAGCACCTATTTGATGAGACTTGAGTTTTTGTCACTTACCCTATTGGAAAACTGGAAATTTTTTGCACAAAATAAAAAAAAAAACTCAAAGCTCGTACTTTAAACCAGTTTTTCCGACTGAAAAAATGGAAAATCCAAGGAAAAACTGGATAAAAATGTAAACGTCACTGCAAAATGGCCGACTAAAAGCGACGTTGCCGCATGACATTAATGACATTTTAAATGGTTTAATTTAATTAAAATTTGTTGAATAATTAAATAATAACGATCATAAAACAATAAATTTTCTAAATAAGGTCTTGGTAACTTGTTTTTACTTTAATTTTAATGAAAAAATGTTTAATTGTTAATTATATGTAAGTAAGACAAAGACAACAATAGAGTAGTATACGTTTGCAAAAACCTCAAATGGGTGAGATAAAGTAGGATGCCATTTAGAACGCAAAATTATCAAATTACAATAAAAACCAAACGAAGCAAATATTTGATAAAGTAGTACCAACTTAAATATTTAAAAAATTGATAACAAAAGTAACGTTAAACTGGTAAGGGCCGAAATCCCTTAGTCCGGAACTAAAGGCCCGCCCATACAGCGCTGGTTTATGTGGATAAGGGTCTGCAAAATCTTCAGTTCATGGGGCTTGAATTAAGATTTAAAAATCTTGGAAAATAAGCCTTTCATTTTTGTTTGTAGTTTCCTGACAATTCAAATAAAGAAGCATTTATTGAATCTTCATAATTCATAAGTCATTCCAACATATTGATAAGTTTACATTGACAAATTCTTTGAATCCTGGAGTTTTCAGAATTTTGAAAGTCGACAATGAGAGGGCAAATTAGATCAAAGGCATTTATACTTTTCTTTAGATCATTTTTCTCTTGAATTTCTATTTTCTCTATAGTGCTAAATAAGGAACATTTAGAAGCCCGGATGTAGAATTTTTTCTCAAATTTTTCTCAATTTCTATTAAATGAGTTTCATTTCTTTTTCAAATTTTTCTAAAAATATAGTGAATCCAAGAGCCTTAAATAGAGAAAATATTTAAATTCCTAGTTGTCAACCAATTCCTTCTCAATTTCTATTGAACATTGAACGTTTCTTTTCATTTTTCCTCCTAAATTTGTGTTACTCTTGAATGTCTGCTTTTCTTCGAATTTTTCTAAAAATAAAGAATTCAACATCAACAGCCTGAAATAGAGAAAATATTTAAATTTTTAATTGTCAACCAATATCCTCTCAATTTTCTCTTTCCATTTCTCAATTTCTATTGAACGTTTGTATTTTTTCCTCTTGCATTTTCATTTGTAGATCTTCAAACCTGAATATCTTGGTAACTAAGAGCGGTATTGGAATAAAATTTTCAGAAATTGTAGCTCTTGATAAGGGCTTTCAAATGATATTTGGCTGAAATTGTTAGCATTTTTAGTTTTTGAAAAAATTGAGTTTGGAGTTTTGGACAAAATATTGACTAAATTTCAACTTTGAAGCAAAATATCTTGAAAACTTCACAGGCTCATAGAGAATTTAATGCTCTTTCCAGTGATGTATAATTATTGGCAATTTGCTCAAGTGTCCTTACTGACATGAGCAATTATTAATGAGCATGTCAAGATTCCAAAAAATTATTTATTCAAAAAAATTCTGACCTGAAATTAAATGCGTTTTCGAATAATTATTAATGAATTCTACCTAAAGTGAATTAATTTTTGAATTTATGAGTCAAGATTCTGAATTTAGAATGAGTGAGTCATTGAATTAATGAGTAAATTTCATAAGAATTCGTCCCGATGTACTCTATTGATCTTCATTAAAATATACAGGGCATTCCATTTAAAAAATTGAAGTGTCACGTGTCTCGTGATAGGTATCTCATTTTTGGACCACCTTGTAGGTATAAATACAAATTAGTTCAAAAACATCGGCGCCACTAAAAATTATTAGGATCGACTTGTCGGAGCATTTATCCACAAAAAATATGTTCAAATTTTCAATGAATATATTCGTTACTTTACGGACACACTGTATATTTTTGAATCCTAAAGTCTGTTTTTTTTTTAAAGATAATTTCCCAAGTCAAAAATTTAGTAACTATGTTGGCAACGCAAGCCTTTTCTACATAAAAAATTTCAAAGCATCGACAATTTTACATTGTACTGCCAACATAATGTCATTTTGACTTTTATCTTTAAAAAAAAACAGATTTTACAGAGTGTGTCAACCTAATTCTTGTATGTAATTGAATTTAATATTCACAAATTTGAGAAATAGTCAAGTTCAAACTTTTATTTTGAACCATTATATATGTGAGTTTCGCATTCCTTACTGGTTTGAAAGTTCGAAATGTCACTTTACTATTATTGTTTACTTTAAAACATGCCGAAAGTGACTGTTCTTCTGTCATTTTCGGCCTAGAGAACTCACTTCCGGCCCAGGTGCAATGTTTGTATTTAGAAGTAGATGTCATAGGTATTTGTTTATATTGTTGAAATTTCATAAAATGTCAATATCGGTGTCAGACTTTCAATTGAAATTTCATTTTTGTTATATTTTAACCTTATTTTTTTCACTAATTAATGGTTCAAAATAAAATAGTATACATAATTCGGTGGGAAGTTTTCACATTATTGTCTCGAGAATTGGTTGACCTCGGCGCTTCGCACCTCGGTCAACCATATAGTATCTCTCGACAATAATGAAACACTTTCCACCTCCGCATGTAATATACTATTATTATTTGATTATAATTATTCATTCAGGTAGGGCCATCTAACAGCTAAAAATGTTTACTAATCAATTGAGCCCACCTACTTAAACTTTCCACTCAAAAAGAAAAACAAAACTAAATAAGTCGGCACACGCGATTGTGTGAATACGTAAACAAAACCGTAGAGTTTCATGCCAAATGCATTTTAACCCAAACAGCTTGCCGGACAATTTAAACTTCGAAGCTGATTAGTATCAGCTGCACGCAAAACTTGACAATGAATTTTCTCTGTTTAATCGAGCTACTTGTTGTTGGATAAAACAAACATTTTAGTATAATTTGCACAATCTTAATAGATTCATGGAGAACGAGCACCGCCTGACGTCTACAAAGACTTCAGAACGGCCGTTTTCCAAATTCTAGGACACCAAGACAATCCGCCCGAGTTCACCAACGGAATTGCGCCGTCGGTTCCCGCTAATACAACTTCAGAGCTGCCAACATTGGTAAAAGAAAATTTTAGCTGTAACATTTTATTGAGTAATTATTTTTATTCAAAACAGCAAAATCCCCAAATACCCAGGGACCCGACCAAATCTGACCCCTCGCCGCCGCGGCCCAAGACCCAAGTGATTTCGGTTGGCAACAATGCGGCGCCCAATTTCAACTCGCCTGTCAAACCGTTGACGTATCCGCCAGTGTTGTGGGTCATTGGGGGGCCTGGGAGCAATAAGGCAACGTTATGTTCTACTGCTGCTAATGACACTGGCTGGACGCACGTCAGTTTAGGAAAATTACTCAGGTTTGTACCAGCGATCATAGACTATAGTTTAACACTGTTGCCAAGACTGAAATATTTATTCGATTACAGGGTTGCGGCTTCGCCGCCAGATCCTAGATTGAATCCGGACGTTGCCAAATTGAAAGAGTGTATCAGTAATGGGGAATTGGTGCCGTTCGATTTAGTCATGAAATTCGTGGATAGTCAAATGGTCAGTAATGTTGAGGCGAAAGGGATTATATTGGATGGGTTCCCGAGAGATATGGATCAGGCGTTGGACTTTGAGAATAAGGTAAGAAAAAATAGTGCAGGACAGGAAACATTTTTTTTTTTTTTTGAAGTGAAACTTCTTTACACACGGTAGGGTGAGTTCGTTTCATGCGAGTTGCTATGTAACGAAATTATGCAACGTTAAGCATTTCCTTTACTTACGTCTCACAACCCGCGCCGCTCTATATGTGAAGAATGAGACACTGCTAGTAGTGTTGAGCACAGACCAATAATTATTGCTTCAATATAAATTTTTCTTTCCCGGGGTTAATAAAACAGTGGGTATTTGAGCCTGGGAACTTTTTCGATACCGTGGGAAAATCGGCGATGCCTTTGAGAGTGAATCAAATCCAAATACCAGTGAAATTCAGCAAAAAACCAGCTGACCAGCTACGTTGGATTTTCGGTCTTGGAATTATTAAAATGGTTTCCACTAGTTTACCTGGTTTTGTGCTGTGTTTTCCGAGGCATCGAAAAAGTTCCAATTTCGTGAATTGTTCGTACAGTATTCTTAATAAAATACCCAGAAATGAATAACTGAACCCATACTACTATGCTTGGAAAATATCCATGCGTATCAGCAAGCTGGAATTTCAGACATAAAAAGCCAGAATTTGAAAAAATGGGCACAAGTCAAAGTCGATGAAATAACATGAAAATTTTGAAGAAAACTGATTCAAAAAGTAATGAAAGTTTAAATGAAAGTATTTATCTAACACAAAAATACTGATTTTCTTTGACTTTCCCTTATTTCTTTTAATTATCAGTAGATTGCACAAGAACTTCCTTGACTTCAAACTATTATAAAGATATTTGAAAACTGCGTAGGTATGTGTTAAATTTAGAGATTGACTGATTTCCTTAAAATCTCCCATGATTTTTCTTAAGATTTCCTTTGTGGTTTACCTCTGAAGGATTTATTGATTATATTGACTCCACTTATCGTAAAATTGCTTTTTACAAGGCTTAGAATCCACCATTAGAAGAGGAAGATGTTACGTGGTGATCTGGTCATTGATCAATCTGATCACAATTCAGTGTAAAATGCTCGTCCATGGAATCAGTCAAAAAGTGGAACTACGTCACAAGATAAGGTCCAGATAATGGAATTTCATGACGTGAAAATCAATAAGTATAAAGGGGGTGTGAACCTAAAAAACGACTTGAGCTACTTAAATCAAGAAAAAAATTCTAAGATCTCTCGTGAAAACCGCAGTCCTGTATTCAAAATAGTCTCCGAGAAAATTCCTTTTGAAGATCAATTATGCAGGAAATTGTGATGTCACAACCGCCGAAATCGTAGTCTTCTGGTCATTCAGTCGTCAGTGAACCGTACCCTATACTTTGAGTGGTTGCAATTCGCTCTAGGAGATAATTATCTTTTGTTTTGGAGAATTCTCACAGGTGTTAACACTGTCCCTGAAAATCCAGTGTGACGTCACAAACGCCTAGTTGTAACTTTAAATCGCCCTAACTCGAAAACGGACCATCGTAGCAAGATGCGGTTTGAATATTTATTTTTAAATTTTTTTGCACTAAAATTTTCATTATTGGGTCACACCCCCTATAAGTACCCAAGACAAGATCTAAGATTGCTGGAAAGAAAAACAGAAAAACATCATGGAAAAGTCGAGAAGTCAAGCTGACAAAAGAATGGATACGTGCAAAATATAAAAAATGCCGAGGAAATGTTTGACTATGCCAGGCTTTTGATAATTTGTCCTTCTTCTCTCAATTGCTCTTTAAAACATTAATAATAATCGAGGAAACTTTCATCTATTCCAGGTTTTAGATATTTCCTTTTTTTTCTCTCAATTTCTCTTTAAATAATTAATAATTAGCCTCAGAAGTTTTTCAATTCAGATCTTTAAATATTCCATAGAGTCTTTGAAATCTCTAAAATTTGTTTTTGAAATTGAAAAATTTATGGTCTTCAATGATGAGCTTTAAAAAGTCTTCAAAGTTGAGTAAGAAATCTAAAAAATTCTTAAGTTGGTTCAGAGTCTATGGAATATTAAAAATTATCAAATTTTTAGGCTTTAAAAGTTGAATTTGGCATTCAAGATCGAAAATGATCTTTTTTTTTGAAGAAAATTAACAAGAAAATTGGTTGACAAGTAGAAATAGAAGTATTTGTCTATTCCAGGCTCTTGAATTCTCTTAATTTAGGAAAATTTGAAGAAATTCAAGAGCCTGGAATAGACAAAAACTGAGAAGGAATAAATGAGAATTGAAAATTGAGAATAATTTAAAGAGTTGTGGACAAGTAGGAATATGGGTATTTTCTTTTTTCCAAGCTCTTGAATTCTATCAATTTAGAGGAAATTCGAAAAAATTAAGAGAGCAAGTTAGTTTCTGTACACCAGATTACGATTTTAAAGGAAATCATGAATAATTTCCCATGATTTTCCCTGATTTTTTCTGATTAGTGCAAACGGCCATAAGACTTTCCCTGATAACATAATCGCAAATTATAAAGATTTTTGGAAACTGCACATGCATTAGTTCTAGACATTGACTGATTTCCTCAAGATTTCCCATGATTTCTTCAAGATTTTCCCCAATTTCTTTAAGATTTCTTCATGATTTCCTTATGATTTTCCTTGATTTTTCTTATAATTTGTACAGGGTATTAGATTATAGTACAGGGTTATCATTATATGTGGAAACGGCCTAATATTTCAGAACGCACTCAAGAAAAATGTATTTCCTATGAGGGTTTTTGTCTTGGGAATGCCCGATTCAATGGTGGTATTTGCAATGTTGCCAAGTTTACCGGTTCTAAGATGCCATATGTAACTTAATTTTTTTAAATGAAAGTTCTTTATTTTTATTGTAGTTAATTCAGCGTCCCAACATTACTGAAACTCCTAAATGCCGAACTTCCATTCAACTTGGTTTTTGAAATATGATAACACAATTTTTTATTGAAATGTATGGAAATGATTCAGTATTTCAGAACAGGCTTCAGAAAAATGTGATAAATGCCGGGAGTAAGGGTGGATTTCCATGCATCCGTTTATCCGACGAAATATGTCCGAAAAATCTTCTATTTTGACATATTTTTATACGATTATGTCAGAATAGAATGTTTTTCGGACATCTTTCGTCGGAGAAACGGATGCATGAAAATCCACCCTAATGCGTATTCAAGATTTATAGGGAGCTGGTAGGCCCAGGTAGGAAATATTGTACATTTTTCTAAAGCCTGTTCTGGAATACGAGACTGTTTCCATATATTTCAACAAAAAACTATGTTGTCATATTTCAAAAACCAAGTCAAATAGAGGTTTCGTATTAAGGGGTTTCAGTAATGTTGAAACGCTAAATTAATAATTACATACAATAAATATAAAGAGGGACTTTGAGAATATTAAGTTACACATGGCATCTTAGAAACGGTAAACTTGGCAACATTGCAAATACCACCATTGAATCGGGCATTCCCAAAAGCCCCAGGTAGGTAATATTATACATTTTTCTAAAGAGTGTTCTGAAATATTAGGTTGTTTCCATACATAACGACAACCCTGTATTTAGGCCCATGCCTACAGCCTTTAACTATTTAGGAAAAAATTTAAAATACAAAACTTAACAGTTTTTTTCTATTTTTTAACGTTATCAGAAAAATCAAAATCGCATCGGAAAATGGAGAACTGTAGACAAACAACTTCGACTTTTTTTAATGAAACACCCTGTATATTATGCGATGAAATGGAAGATATTTTCTTCCTGATTCCAAATATATATGCAGGGCAGGGTGTCCTACCGGGAACCAAATCGATCTATATTATGAAAAACTGTATGCAAAAAATTCTTGAGAACCTGACAGTATACTAATGTCAATGCGGGCGGAACAACACGGCTAAAATATTTTCAAGATGATAGATTTAAGCTAAGATATCTCAGAAATGGCTCACGCAAATGTAGTCAATATACAGGGTGTACCACTGAAAACAAAACAGGCTGAATATCTGATGCCACATTTATTTTTTTTTAAATCGCTCGTACACGTAATTTGATTTTCAAAGGGGGAAGTTTTTTTGCAATCATTTTTAGCACTTCAACTTTAACAATCTATAGGCGGGGTGAAACCCCAGGGCCGCCCCTAGGCTTTTGGAATTGGGAATCTGGTGTTTCGCTCATCCAAGTGAGGGTAAATTAATGATACAATCGCCATCATTTTTGAACTACATGGTAGTAAATAAACTGCTCGCCAAAAAAAACGGAACAAGCAATTTTTAGCACTAGCTTTCATTGTGGGAAAACGTTTCACAATCCAATAAACCGTAAGCCACATCGTTCCAACATTGTGGTGCTAAAATGGCTCTTCAGGAAACTCTTATGCAAAAAATGAAAAAAGTGTTCCGAGATATTGGCCCAGAGTATCACCTAATCAATTTTCAAAGAAAACAAAAGGCATACAGATCAATTTCTATAGAGTTGAAAGAACAATTATCATAATTTACCTAATTTGAGGTGTATTTTTTCCTCGACCCCTGTATAATATAAACAGGGCCATCTGCAAAAAAAGTAAGCGAGTCGTGGCACCTCTAAAAAAAATGGGCTTTCAAAATCTGCAAAGATATTCGAAATCAATACCACCGTTTTCAAGATACAGCCCTTTGAACATTGTGCTCACAAGATTTTGTCAACTTTGTTGTTTAATATTGTATCTGCTGCCAAAGGGCACTTATCAAAAAACTGGCAAAAACATCTGGAGATATCCATACTTTTTGTATTTTTGCATCAATTTATTATTCACCCTGTATAACTTCAAAAATGCATTTCTTCGAGAAAAATATTCTTGTCCCACGTGGTATACAACATGGACTATCGAATATCACAAACCGCATTAAAAACAAAAATAAAATAAAAAAGTTATCACAAATTGAATTTGGTGCTAAAAATTGCTTGTCCCGTTTTTTTTGGCGAGCAGTTTATTTCAATTTATTCGTCTTGAATGTTGTTTTCTGTCTATTATTTATTTTCTCCCCTGTGTAAAGAATAAAACCGTTGGGTTAGCTTCACAACTCAAATCTTCTTTCCAACATGTAGGTATTTTACCCTGAATAATAAGGCCGTTTTGTCATTCTCTTGTCGAGGACGCCCGTGACTTTTTACCCATTAAGAATTATAACGTAGTCTTCATTTTCTCTATCTATCTTTTAATCCTTAATTTCTCATGTAACTTGTACCATCAAGGAACGGCCTATATAGAACGCTTATTGATTTCACTCCCTATTATCCAAATCTCCGTATGTATTTTCTTTCATTTCATTCCGGTAAACATTGTTAATAAATTACTGTATATATTCTTTACTTTTCTTTAATTTCCTTACCATTTGTTTGATAAACCATTGTTAGAAAAATTGATTCTTTTATTTCCTTTGGAAAACCCCGAGCTAGCATTCCTACTTACTACGTACAGCTTAGGTAGCAAGAACCCACACTGGAAGAGGCGATCTAATCAGATTACTAAAAAGTTCAAAGTTACCTAGATTTTCAGTGGGACTTTAAACAAAGTCCCTGGTGGCACGCTACTGTAGTACAAAAAACGCCTTTACCAGTGTTAAAATAAAGTCTCCCTTACCCAACCGTCGCAACCAGGTGGCGGTGGTAACACTATTTTGCCAATCAGATTTGACACATTTTTCAATGTATTTTTCTATAGTGCAATATGTTAAATATGTATATAATAAAAGAAAAACAATACACAAAAGGCAACATTTGCTGAGGCGTTCTTCCATGATGTCCCCGTCTCTATTAACACATTCATACTACACAGATTCCAGTAATTGACTTTTATAAACCTTTTTGAAAATCACTAGTGAATTATTAATTAATAAATCATAGACATTTGAGTTAAGTAATTCTACAGACAGAAATGCAAAATAACTTCTAAATTTGGATGTTCGATGTAGCGGTATATTATCTTATATCTAAGGTCCCTATGCAAGTCTAGGCACAATTAGAGTCATTAGAGACCAGAGATAAGTAAGGGCAATTATTCTTAAAAATCTTATAAAGAAAAATAGCAAAATGACACGCGACTCAAACCTCAAGTATTCATACTGCATGTAGATTGGTGCGACACGATTAAATTTACCAGTACAAAAGATAAATCCTAGACAAAAATTTTATGATTATTTCTTAATTCTTTCGTCAAAAAGCTGAAGTAAACAACACTACAGTAATCCAAGTGGGGTTAAATTAATAATTCAATCAGCAACATTTATGTACTACATGGTAGTACATACTTGAATGCGTATAAGTATTTTAGTTTGAGATAGACTAACAATTTTTTGGATACTTACGTGAACACTAAGGGTGGGTTCCATTGTCTAACCTGGTTAACCGGTCGGTACAACGTCGGTTGACAGCGGTTGACAACGATTGACAGCGGTTGACAACGATTGACAGCGGTTGTTGAAAATTTCGGTTTCATACGGAACGCTTTTCCAATCGTAGAAACGCCGTCGGTTGCCTTGGTGACATGTTTGACATATAACCAACCGTGTTCCGTATAGACCGGTTTTTCAGGAACCAGACATTACGGAACGTGTAACCCTAACCAAGGTTGACAACGGAACCCACCCTAAAGTTAAAGCCACTGTCAATATTAATAATCCTAAATTTCTAGCGTTCTCTGCGTACTGTCTGTACAGAATCAACAACCTAATTCACATTAAGAATTGTGAAATTCTACTTTTCGCGTTTCCATATCTCAATTTTCGAATTTGCCGCCATAACAGTGATCACGGGACCAGGGCCGTAGCCAGGGGGGGGTATTGGGGGGCAATGCCTTATCTTTCAAATGATGATGCCCTACCTTTAAAACACAACATACGTTGAGGTTTATTTAGAAAATTTAAGAGAAGATGAAAGCAGTGTTTCAACCGACATGAGAACTGTTCTGGAACGGTAATTTTCAGTCGATCAATTCATTTGCCAAGGAGGATAAACGTTCAACTTATTGAAAATTAGGTGGGCAATTGGAAATTACTAGTTCTGGAACGGTTCCTATGTCCATTGGACCACAGCTAATGAATGGACCTGAAATCGAATGAGTTGGTAGGCATACATCAGTTATTTTACAAGTAGTACAAGTACAAGAGGTCTCTCAAAAATTATTGCCTGAACGCGCCATTTTGTTTGATGTTATTTGATGTTGTTTATTGAAAAATTTGCCTTCGGTGCCATTACCCCCATTCTGTTTACCTATAAAAAATTTAAGGGGCGGGGGGAAGTAGTGCATGCCCTATGTCAAATTTTTCATGCCCTACCACAAATTTGACTGTAGCTACGGCCCTGCACGGGACTAATATCAAAATGTACTTTTGGGTTATCGGACATGCAGGATTGATCGCACATAAGAAAAAATTCCATATTCTACAAAAAAACAATTTTCCCATATTATGCAAACATTATGAGAAACACTGTATGTCCAAATAATTATTTTCCTTAGAAAAATCGTTCGTTCCAGAGAACCTAAAAGGTTAATAAGACTGTTGTTAAAACATTCTTTTTAGTCAAAAACCAAAAAATGTCGATAGCGTGACCACCATATCTCAATCATTTACTATTCCATAATCATTTTTTTCCCGTTTTAATACACCCCTCATTCAGCTGTGTATGTGTGTGTGCACTTTCTCGAAATCGCATGAATTATTATTACACAGCGCTCATTACCGATTCCCGTGTTTCATTTTTTTTCTCCCGCTCTGCCCCCAAGCGACTATTTCCAGAAATAATGATAGCGAGACTTTCTGGAACGTTCCTTCTTGGGACTCGGCGTATTATAATTATCGTATTAATAATTTAAGATTCGCAGCGAAAAATTGTATCGAGTTTAAATACGGGAATAATTTTGTGTGGAGTCGAGGACAGGTGTGTTCTTTTCCCATATTATTTTGTTTTACCGTGTCAAGGTGAAGGAAATTGTTTTCAGATTATATTCTTGTGAACTTTCTCAGCAAATCTTAACATCAACTACGTAAATACCACTCTGTACGTCAATTTTATTAAAATTTGTCGATGAGTCAGCAATAATATTACCGGCTAGTGCAAAGTACCTCAATTGGGAAAAGCCCCTCCAGCTAAGTCTCCTTCCAGTGCAAACTAACTTTATTGAGAAACGTCTTTCTGGACCTGTTTCAAACCCAACTTCAGTTTTCAGTCATGCTAAGTGTACAGAGGGTACATAATACAAAAGGGCCATGGTATTATTCCTATTATTCTATATATTCAATGCATATCTTATTGTACCTATACCAAGCGAGTTTCTATCTACTTCTATGCCCCCAGGTCACGCTTCTGTTGTGACGTCCGAGGACGAAACGTACAAAGGTTGTGACAATCTTTCCTAAGACTGAACACATGTATATTTTATATGCTACATTTATGTTTCAGTACAAACAAAAACCAACTATAATTCTACTCGACTGCTCCAAATTGCAATTGGGCAAGGGCCGTTTGGACGACAGCGTCACCGCCTTCCGGCGACGTCTAGAAATATTCCGACAATCGACGTTGCCGATGCTCAAGGCCATGGACGGCATCGGAAGACTGACAATTGTGAGTCGACGACTCAATATTTCCTTACACTAATTTTATCATTAAATAGGTCGATGGTGATACTGACACCGCACCAGTGCAGGCCGACTTTAAAAACGTGGTAGCAGAACACATCGAATATATGCTAAACAATATTCAACAGTCTCAGCCCACTGCGCAAATGCTAAGCAGTCATCAAATGAACGGACACGTGGCAACATTCAACCGACATATACCTAACGGACATGTAGGAAACGGTAAGAAATTATTACAATGTAAACAAAATTATTACAATTACAATACTAATTAGGTCATATTCTGAATGGTGATGCGACACTGGTCGACCTTGAAACGAACCCAATAGAAACCGTCAGCCAGCGCGTCGGAAACGGCCTGACCAATGGCAACGTGCCAAATGGCTACTTGACCAATGGCGTAACAAAAAAAGCGCCGCACCTTTTAAGAAACGTGCCGATTTTTAATAGTTTGGACAATGGCATGCAAAGGAATGGCGAAATTGCCTTTATGGACAGTCATATTTGAATTGATTGAATGGGAATAAAAAGGCTGTGAAGAGTATTTGCGCTGGTTCGTGAGTATTCGGCGTTTGTCAGGAAAAAAAATGTGTTTTGTAAAAAATATAAATACTTAATTTAGGCTTTAATTTTTCTTCGTAGATTGAAATTTTTGGGTTGTTGTAAGGTGACGATAATCCCTTACTCTTACCGCCTGATTTTAACTATGGTCGATTTTAGATTTATTATAAACGTTGCCAAAAAAAAAATGTATATTAAGCAATTTTCATAATAATAATAATAATAATAATAATATGTAGATATTAATAGAGAGATCTGGTATAACAGCCATTACAGTTTTGTAATGTTCGGTTCAACTAAGAATTGATTGCAAGAGTGCCTTATTATTATACGAAATAAGGAAATTATTTCATTATTGTAAGACGTTGATTAGTGGTCCAATATTAAATTTATTTATTTAGGAAAAGCACCTAATAAGTAGGATTTAAGCACCCACTTATTTTCTTATACAAAACAAATAAGTACCGAATTTGTTAAATTTAGCTCATAAAATATTTTTCTAATTAAAATGATGTTTTATACACTTTTTGTAGAGTTAAGTTAGTGGTAATAGTTTTTAATAATTATTTATGTTTCAAATATATCGTGCTATCTATAGGTTATTTAATTTTTGTTTATTTCAGTTTTAGTATTCAATAAACAAATTAATAAACAATTATTGACAATTTGTAAGTGTTTATTATTGCAACTTAAGTCCATCGATTTTAATCTGATACTCCACATTAGAACGCCAATGGTCACCTGACGTCACACCTGTTTTTACTGCAGCGTAAAGCCAATAACAAATGAATCTGTGATTCTAATTACTGTAGCCTTAAGCCAAAAACAAGGGAATGAGCTTGAGGAGCTCTGTTTGCAGTATTTATATGAAAATACTGCTGACTAGTTCTGACACTGTAATTGAGTGGCCGAAACCTTGAATTGACGGTAGGTACTTTTCCAGTGCAGTATCGCGTACCTACTCAGATGTTTTATAATATGTGTGCTTATATTTAACATTGGAAAGGAAAACAGAGAATTTCTCAAATAATTTTTTTTAGAAGATACTTCTAGTGATCAAATATTATAGGTTTTTTTATGTTATATTTAATATGTCATATGTTATCGAACAAAGACAGACATGCCTATTTTATTTCTTATGATTCATCAGAATGTTCTGTGTCAATAATTCTGATGACAGCTAAAAATAACGAAATGAAAATGTTTATACAAGTCATGCAATGTCGCGTGCCGTTGCCAACCAAAAACATCTAAAATTCCCCTACTTTAAATGCATGGAAAAGTGCTTTTAGTTTTGTTAGGTTGGCAGCAGAAATTTACTAAATGTGACGTCATCCTAAATGTAGCCTAAAAATCCTATACATAGTTTTCTTTTTTTCCATTTGAATTTATATGTTGTACGAAATTTTTTTTATTGTAATTCAAATCAAAAACTTTAGCGCGAAAACACGAAATCTCGATATGAAAGGCTTGTGACAACAAGATTTTGTAAACAGCAAAAGAACTCCTGCTAACGCAGTAGTTAATGTAGTTATATCCCGTGAGAACTCCAATTCAGCATTTATATTGTTCTATTCAGCTTTTTTTTATATTATAAAAGGACTAATTTTTAGTTTTAAGTCAATTCTATTGTTATAGTCAAATAAAGTTTTTTAAAAACGCCTTCTCGTGTACACCCCTCGTAAGTCACTTGTCCCCAGTGTCCCCCCCCCCCTGGATCCGCCACTGCCAGGAGCTAGAAGAGTCTATCCTTTGTTGCCTTATCTTTTAACTAATACCTCTCTTAAAAAACAAATCACAGTGAGACTTGAGAAAACTGAGAAGAGTTGAGAGAGTCAAACTTTAGACAGAAGAACCTAAAACAAAATAAACTAAAGATTCTGAAAGGTATACAGGGTGTCCCAAAAAGATACCGACAAACTTTAAGGGGTAGTAGAGGACATCAAAACAAGCATTTTTGTTTATATAAACATATGTCCGCAAATAGCCATTTGGGCTGTAGAGCAAAAAAACCGTTTGATACTTTTATTTTTCGCAATAATTAAGTCACTGTTTACTTATTAATTTTGGTTTACAATAATTGTTCAAAATGTTGACCATTTACTTCAATGCAAAGATTACAAGGTCGGGTCATTGACTGAAAAGTTAAGTCTACGAAACACCTGTTCGTAATGAGGAAGATCTGATAGCAAGGATACTGGCGAGTTGTACCAATGTAGAAGCTATTCCCAAAAAATATTCCAAAGAGTTCGCGAGTTGAACAACAGTGATTTAATTATTGCGAAGAATAAAACTAGATACCAAACAGTTTTTTTGCTCTACAGCCCAAATGGCTCATTTGCGGACATATGTTTATATTGTCACAACTGCCCGCTTTACGGGGGTGACATGGGGGGTTTGTAGCTTTCGGGGTTAATGGAGAGAAACTCGCTCAGGTTATATAAAAATATAGATATATATTTTCCCAAATATAACCTTACATGTACGCTAACCCTATAAGATACATGACCCTTCGTACACTGGGGTCCTTATTGTTGTGAGAACTAATGCTTTCCTTCAAATTATCGAACGCACCATATTTGTAATATAGCTATTACTTGTTAGATGGCGACACGTGTGATGTGGATATAGCTACTACTGCTATGTGTTTGCTTGATATATCACCAGCGAATGAAAACACTGTTTTACCAATAACTCGGTTTAATTCTGGGCACTGAACATACAAATAAATCGAAATACTTTATTTTGTTAACAACAACAACACGATATCATAATTGCGCGGCAACAAGCTGACTAGAAGTAAACAACAACCGTCCCAGCTGTCCCAAGCTGTCTTCTGTCACGTCACGTCAGGCCGCCAGGGTTGTACACAATAGTTGAGCCATCCAGGGTTGAACACAACGGACTCGCGGAACAATGACGCCACATCTACTCCCCTCCCAGTGACGAAGCCTCTTGTGGGAGGAACGAAACCTTCTTTTTTGAGTAAGTGCGAAGAGGGCGGTCCATGGTGAAGGATGACGCTGAGTGATTCTCCAGGGTGGATGAAACGGTATCGGGTTTAAGGGTGTAGGCTGGCTTCAGGGCGTCCACAGAGACAGTCTTGTACAGCTGTACACTCGGTCATTTATTCTCTTGACGACTTCATGCGGGCCAGTGTAGGGCGGTTCGAGCGGGCGACGAACAGAGTCCACTCGGCGGAAGACATGACTGCAAGTTGCGAGGTCCTTGAGGATGACGCAGCGAGATTTGATATGGTGAGCCGTAGGTGTTGGGCGGACTTTCCTGATGTGGTCCCGGTATTTTTCGAGGAAGACTTGGGGATCAGCTGGGGGTGACTCAGAGGTGAAGAATTCACCAGGTATACGCAAGGGTGTCCCATGAAGGAGCTCCGCTGGTGAGGCATTCAGGTCTTCTTTCAGGCACGTACGCAGACCCAGAAGAACGGTCGGAAGCACTTCCGTCCAGGGCGTGGGTGCTTGACACATAAGGGCTGCCTTCAAAGTCCTATGGAAGCGCTCTACGATGCCATTGGACTGCGGGTGATAGGGCGTGGTGTGGATTACCCGCGCTCCTACAAGGCGTGCAAGAGCCGAAAATAGTGAAGATTCAAATTGCGTGCCCTGGTCAGTTGTGATAGATAGTGGCGTTCCGTAGTTGCAAATCCAATTGACATAGAGAGCAGACGAGACGGTGTCAGCTTCCATGTTCTGGAGGGGTACTGCAACAGGCCATCTAGAAAATCGATCAATTATGGTTAAGCAGTAACGAAATTTGTTGACTGGTGGTAAAATGATGAGATCTAGGTGAATATGCTCGAATCTGTTGTCAGGTACGGTGATGTGCTGTGGTGCGAGACGATTGTGTCGTTGAATTTTGGATTTTTGACACTGAATGCATTGGCGGGACCACTGGAGGGCGTCCTTCTTGATTCCAGGCCAAACAAATTTTTCTTTGAGGCTTCGAGCAGTGACTCGGCCGCTGGGGTGTGCCAAACCATGAACAACATCAAAAGCTTTGCGTCGGAGACTTGTCGGAATGTAGGGTCTGATGCGATCTGAAGAGATATCGCAGAGGACGTTGGCGTTTTCAATAACAAGCTGTTGCAGATTGAGCGATGATTCTTGTGGCGTATCTTGGTCTTCAAGCTGTGCGGCTTCGATGGCTTTAGGAGACAGTGACGTTGGCATGGAGATAGCGTTAATACGAGACAGGGCGTCAGCAACGGCGTTGTGTTCTCCCTTGACATAGACGATTTCTGTGCTGAATTGTGAAATAAAGTCCAGTTGATGGAGCTGTCTGGGGCATGCTTTTTCAGCGCGCTGAGCAAAGGCGTATACCAGTGGGCGATGATCAGTTTTGATGATGAACTGGCGTCCTTCCAGCTGGTGACGAAAGAACTTTATTGCAGCGAAAATCGCTAGCAGCTCGCGATCGTAGGTGCTGTATCGCGTTTCGGTGGGACTCAACTTGCGGGAAAAAAAACCTATGGGCTTCCAGCAGTCGTCGATCAGCTGTTCAAGTGCAGCTCCAATGGCGAAGTCCGAGGCATCAGTGACGAGTGCGAGATTTGCAGAGGGTGAGATGAAGCTGGTACAAGTCGCTTTGACAATGCTTTCTACACAGTCTTGGTAGGCCTTCTCTGAGCTGGGTGTCCAAGGGATGGGCCGTTTGTCTTTTTTCTTGGCACCCTTCATAAATGCATTGAGAGGGGCTTGAAGTTCAGCGGCCTTTGGAATACAGCGACGGTAATAATTGAGCATTCCCAAAAACTTACGAAGGTCAGAGATGGTCTCTGGCTTGGTGTAAGAAGCGATGGCTTGGATCTTGGAATCAGGTGGTTTGTATCCGAGCTTGTTGATGGAGTAGCCGAAGTACATAACTTCTGACTTGTTGATTTGGCACTTGCTGAGGTTGATAGTGAGTTTGTTAACACGCAGTACATTAAAGATTTTGCGTAGATGTTGCAGATGTTCCTCATGGGAATCCGAGAACACTATCAAGTCATCAATGTAGCATGCTGCGAAGTCAATACCACGGAGAAGGTTGTCCATATGACGTTGAAATGTCTGAGTGGCATTGCGCAGGCCTGGAGGCATACCCAGAAATTCAAAAAGCCCAAAAGGAGTAGTTATCGCTGTTTTGGGTATGTCCTCTGGTGCTACAGGAATTTGGTGGTAAGCTCGAACCAGGTCAATGACAGTGAAGACACTTTTCCCATGCAGCCGCTGAAAGATGTCTTCTGGTAGTGGTATGGGGTACCGATCTGGCACAGTCTGGGAATTGAGCCTCCTAAAATCACCTGTGGAACGCCATCCACCTTGCTTTTTCTGGACCATGTGTAGAGGACTGGCCCATGGACTGCTGGAGGGACGGATAACAGCATGATACAACAGGAGGTCGAAATCCTCTTTAGCAATCTTTAGTTTCTCTGAGTTTAGCCGACGTGGACGGTCATTGACTGGCGGTCCAGTGGTGACTATGTGGTGATGAGTTCCTGTAGGGGCGTCCACTGATGGGGCTGACCTTGGACGGGTGATGTCAATAAACTCTTCCAGCAACTTGCTATAGGGTTGACTGAGTGTAGGAGGTGCATATTCTGCATTATTGACAGTGGAAACAGTATGAAGTTCGGTTTCATGCATTTCAGCAGGAGAAGACAGTGAGGTGAGAGAGTCC